GCCAAGGAAATGTGACTTGCAAGCAGATTGGAGAAAGCTGCCAAAATCTCTGCTAGATGAACGAGGGCAACTGCATGTCTATGGAGTCTTTGCTGATATAGGGAAATAGGGGGACAGGAGTGGTCATTTAAGTTTAATTTGAATATGTTAAGTTTGAGATGCTGGTAGATCATTCAGATGGTGCTATCCTATAAGCAGAACAAGACGTCTAGAGTACAAAGAAAACTTAGTGAGAACTAATGATTTGGGTCAATGCTATGAAGAGTTGAAGTCATGAACACAGAAGATGAGTGTAGAAAAGGAAAGAACAGGTTTGAAGAGAGAACCCTAGAAGAACTTTAACAGAATGGGATATGGGAGGAGAAGGGTGGTAAGTCTGTTTCTTGCCAGAACCCCAACTAGTACATTGATTTTTTGGAAATGTTGAGCTGAAGGTAATTGGAGGAGAGGAAAGGAGTTTGACCAGAATTGTAGACTCAGGATATTAGTAAGTAACTATACTTAGGTTAGGATTCTTTAGACTCATTATGTGTGTTTTTGTTAACAACAATGATACCATTGTAATTAACCCAGTTATGAATAACTGGAAAGGAGCAAAGGGAAGGCCAAACATTATGGGCATGCCATTTATGCAGCTTTGCCAGGAAGCCATAATTTAACACTCCCCAGGAAGCCACTGATCGCTGGGGAAAGGGATTGGACAATAGACGCAAGCCCAGTAAAGTCTGGGTGACATAGGGAAGGTACTGTCCTATCAGTCACACCTGGGAACACGTCTTTGGCCAGGGTAAGAGTGGCCTCTGCAGTGTGGAAGATTTGGGATACTTAATCTCTTAAACAAAGGAGTTCATTCTCTTGTGCTCTTGCCCACTTTTTGCTCTTGCTTACTCACGCTTGATTCCTGGCTTGCGGGGCTCTCACACTCCTGTACTTGCCTACACAGCCCACAGCCACGTGGACCTCATACATCATAGACTAATGGATTACAACGAGCCTAATGCTAAACAGGACCCAATTCCACCATGGAAAGGCAACTTTGGATGTTGACGTTACATCTAACGCTGCTGAATTCCCAGCTACACCTCTTCCAGGACTAGATTGAGGTAAATGGGACTCTAGAAATCCAAGGATGTAATTCCACACAAAAAATAAAGAAAAATAAAACTTTCTTCTACCACACCACATTCTCCAGTGGGAGATTCAAGAAATACTTATTCCAGCAGTACTCCAAGATCCCCACCCCCACTAACAATGGAGAAAGACCATCCAAGCATTTTTCCAATAAATTAACCCAACTCCTATACTGCTTACCTGGAGATACTATCAGATCATATCAGTTAGGGGCTCAGTCCCACAAGAATACCCCCACTTTAAATGCTAATTACAAGTCCAGGTTGTCATCTGTGCTCCTGAACAACTGACTATAACTCAGAGTTCATGTAAACTACTCCTTGGATTTGATTCATTCGCCAAAGTGTCTCACAATGAACCATTTACTTGTTTTCTAGTTTATTATAAAGGATACTATAAAAGACATAGATTTGTTTTTTAAATGAGGATACAGGTGAACAACCAGATTTTTTTAAAAAAGTATACAGAGCAATATATGTGGGAAGACCATGGAGCTTCCAGGCTCTCTGGGAACATCACTCTCCCCAGGTCTCTCCATGGCTCAACAACCTGGAAGTTCTCTGACCCCATTCCTTTGGGGTTTTTATGGAGACCTTATTGTATAAGTGCAATTGACTAAACGATTAGCTATTGGTGATTGAATTCAATCTCTATCACTTCTCCCCTTCTGGCAGGTTGGGGGTGTGGTGGGACTAAAAGTTTCAATCCTCTAATCCAAGCATGTCAAACTCAAAGGCCAAGACGGGCAAAATAAACAAGGTTTAAGTTCATTTGGGCTGCGAAAAAATAAAAGCTTCAATTTTCATAGAAATGTAGGTTTATTTTGATAGAGACATGCTGGATACAAAGGGCTGTAATAAATAAGTAATAATTAATATAAAATAATAGAAAATTTTAATAAAATTTAATATTTTTTCTTGATCATTAATTTACCAGACCTGAATAGCCGCACAAATTAGTAAACATAATGCAATTAAACCTATTTTTCTTGTTCTCCAAAAGCAAAATATTTCCTGATGTGCACATTAAACAAGTCAGTACAATGAGCTGCTAAAATATTTGATAGAAACGGTGCGCCTGCACATAAGGTGTGTAAGGAAAATGAATGCCACACGATTATAGTCATCAGTCATTAGAGAATCTTGTGATTCGTTATTAATAATTATGTATAACAGGATATTGTAAAAATTAAGTTACAAAATTTTTATTAAAACATTTCTTACATACTGTTACATTGGCTGGGCTGCAAAAATATTAGTTGCGGGCCGCCAGTTTGACATGCTTGATCTAATCCTCTTTGGTTTCCCTGGCAACCAGCCCCCAACGTTGGGGGAAGGTGGGCTTTCTAAGTCACCACTGAACATAAACTTAGGTGTGGTTGAATGGGGCTTGCTATGAATAAAAAGACACACCTTCAATCTTTATAAAACTGAAGCTATTTCAGGAGCCAATGACAAAGAAAGAAAGAAGAAAGAAAGAAAGAAAGAAAGAAAGAAAGAAAGAAAGAAAGAAAGAAAGAAAGAAAGAAAGAAAGAAAGAAAGAAAGAAAGAAAGAAGGAAGGAAGGAAGGAAGGAAGGAAGGAAGGAAGGAAGGAAGGAAGGAAGGAAGGAAGGAAGGAAGAAAGGAAAACAACTAATATTATCAGAAGGTGCTCCCATTGCTCTTATTGCTTAGGAAATCCAAGGGTTTTAAGAGCTCTGTGCTAGAAGTAGATAAAGATAAACTATATATTTCTTATTATAAATTATGACATCACAATAACAAATTGGTAAGGAAAGTAAAGTGATGAAAGATGAAAGTGAGTGGGGAAGTGTTAGTTGGAAAAGGGCAAGGAAAAGGAAAAATGATGGAAAGAACAAAGTGGAAAGGAAATTCAAATGAAGAAAAGGAGAAATAAAAGTCGAGGGTATAAATGAAGGAAAGCAACCGAGGTCCCCTTTTCATCTTTAATCAAATTGCCTGCCTGCTCCCAAGTAGAGGCAATTTGCAAAAACAACATTTGATTTACAATAAAAAATGATATAAATGTCAATGCCCACGTCCCACACCCTCAGTTTTACTAAAATTATTTATGATTCATAATTAAATTAAGGGTTCAATTCAAAACCCTTTTTTCTTTAGCTTCTGATCTCAGAGTGGCTTACTTCTATTCACATAGATTTTACCAGGGCCCTTTTCTTGACTTTCTCCTGCCAGTTTTTTTTTTTTTTTTTTAATATGTTTTATTGATTTTTTTACAGAGAAGAAGGGAGAGGGACAGACAGCCAGAAACATCGATGAGAGAGAAACATCGATTAGCTGCCTCCTTGCACACCTCCTACTGGAGATGTGCCTACAACCAAGGTACATGCCCTTGACCAAAATCAAACCTGAGACCCTATGAAGGCTGATGCTCTATCCACTGAGCTAAATGGGCTTCAGACCTCCTGCCAGTTTTGATCCTATAACATTAAATCCCAGAGCTCCAAGGTCAGGAGATGCCACAGGCCTGAGGCCTAACATAAATTTGTCAGTATCATTAAGACTATGGCCTTAATGTTTGGAAGAGATGGAGTTAATAAAAAAATGTTAAAATTACATATTATATATTAAATATGCAATATACGATAGCCATATACAGATTGATCATTCGTAAAATTTTCAAATCCATTCCTTCTAAATCTATTTACCTATCATATTAATTTACTTGGTTACATGATTTTGATGAACAAAATTGGAAGGATTTTTAATGACTAATCATTAACTTACTACCAACCAGTACAGGAAATAAAATGCATTCACAGAAATAGTAATTCTTACAATTTAAAAAAATCCATTCCATTCCACTTTCTAAAACCATGTCCTTATTACCATGACCCTCACAATTCTCAAACACAATTTTTTAAAACATATATTTTTAATTAGTCATCCTGATGTGGCTTTAAAACTTTAAGCAACAGTCAGTAAGGTCTATGTAAAAGCCTGCCTAAATTCTTAACATTTTTCTAATTGTTTTCTGCAAAACCACATACATAGGAGGCAGTCACAATGGAAATAGTGAGTCATTTACACATACATTCTCTGCTTTTTGAGCACATGTGTGTGTTTGAGCATGTACATGTGCCAAGTTCCTTCCACAACTAAGATGTGTTTGTCTTCTTCATCTTCCATCTTTATCCTTTTTTAAAAAATGAAAGGCAACACCAATTACAAAATTGGAATGAGTTGCCAAGAATTATGAAGCATGTCTATGTAGGGAGGAAAAAATCCTGCTTCTGACCATGTGAGAACACATGAGCTTTAGATGGAGGTTCAGCCGGGCAAGGGCTCTCCTTACACAGTTCTCCAGATGATATTAGGTCATCTTAGTGTTCACTAAGATGGAAGATTTAGTGTCCACCACCTGGTAGACTTGGTCCACAAATGTGGTATTTAAGCAAAAATCCTAACTAGGATTTTTAAGATTGAAAAACAGCAATTTGTCATAAAAGTGCTGCTTGTTAATCATGAAATCCCCTTTTTCTCTACCTCTTCTCCCCTCCATTCCAGGGGAATGCAGTGAAAAACTGAAATGAGAAACCATAATTGCAATCACATTCCTGCCTGGGGTCAACCTAATTATTCACCTCTCAACCCCAAACAAATTTACCTCTTTAAAAATAAAGGTCCTTATCACTCACAGGGGAAAATACAAACAAAGATGAAGATGACATTTAGGCATCGCTGCAATCTTTCATTCTTAAGTGACCTCTTAGTTTAATGGCTTCAATGCATTCTCATTCAAGTGGAATATATATTGCAGGAGAGAACTGTAATAAATGGCACTGTCATGATCCTTAGGTTAGAGCGAAGCAATATTGGAAAATAAATCTCAATTCTGGATACTCACCAATCCTGCAATGGGGGTAGGCAATCTATTGATCTTTTTAACAAGTCCTGGCTTTATGGCATTCAGCAACCTGTCATGAAAAAGGCAGAATGTCAAATGAGACATAAAGCAAGATGGATCGCACACAGCACCTTTATCCGGGGCTACCGCTAAATTGCTGAATAGGAAAAAGCAAGAATCCAAAGCATGTGGTAAATCTCAATAATCTATGAGCCTTAATACATACAAGTGAAGAGCTTTGCCAACATCAAGTTTGTCAGTGGCAGGTGAAGTTCTGGAACTTGGAAATGTTGGGAGAGATGAGAGGATGGAGGCTGGTAGAAGCTTCAAGAGAAAAGACAAGCATGGGAGCTGGATGGAGGTTGGGAGGGGATAGTCTAGGACTGGAGCCAGGTACTACATAGACAAGACTCTCCCAATGCTCCTGGTTAAGGCAGAGCTCTCTCCAGGAATGCGCTAAGTCCAGAGACCAATGTCTATCTTCCCAAAGAATTTGCCAAGACTAATTCTACCTCCAGATATGCTTGCTCTTTGAGGAGGTCGCTTGTTAATTGTGGCTGAGTTACCCTTAAGAAGGGGAAGAATACATTTAGCAAGAGGTTAACCAATCATGTTCTGAAGATTTTGAACACGGCTGACCACAGTTCCCTAGGTACAAAAATATGTGAGCAAAACATTTTCAGGGTAAAGGTTGAAATCATGTAAAAATGGTAATACAACATGGGGAATACAAGAGAAAAATAACTACAACTACTTGTCTTCAGAAAATATCAATTCAGAGTGAAAACAAAAGAAAGAAAGAAGGGCAACTTGTAAAACTAAAATAGGGTTGGCATCAGGATGATGTGGTGGAATGTAGCATTTGGCAAGCCAGGTTATTTATAAAGGGATACTGGAGGTAAGGGGTTATAGAATGGAAGCATTTACTCCCACATTCAAGCATTGAGGAGAGGTAATCAGACAACTTATCTCAGGATACAGTGCAAAAAGAAACTTAGGGCAGGAATTTATTATAATTCAGGGGTCAGCAAGCTCTAACCCATGGGCCAAACCTGGCCTAATGCCTGATTTTGTAAAAAGGTTTTACTGGAAAGCCATGCCCATTCACTTATGTGTTGTCCACTGATGCTTTTGTGCAGAGCTGAGTAGTTATAAGAGAGAACATATGGTCCACAAAGTATACAATTTTTACTATTTGGCCCTTTACAGAAAAAGTTTGCCAACCACTATTACACAGGCATACCTCGGAGATATTGCAGGTTCAGTTCCAGACTACTGCAATAAAGTGAGTGTTTGCAATAAAGTGAGTCAAAATCTTTTAGCTGGTGGAGGGTCTTGCCTTCAATTTGTCAAAAAAAATAATAAATAAATAAATAAATAAATAAACATCTGTGAAGCACAATAAAATGAAGTGCAATAAAAGGAGGTATGCCTGTAATTCATGTAATCCAAGATCCTAGTCAATTGTGAAGAGCCTGTACTTGATAGATTTCTACAAATCCGTAACAAAAGATACTTTGAAATATTTTAAATGATTAGTCTGGAATGCAACCTATATTTGACATCACTATGCATTAATATTTTAAGAAATGTGCCTACAGTAATTATGACAAATAGGATATTCTGTTTTTTCACCAAGGATTTTGCCTGTTCTTAGTAACTTTCACTGCAATTCCAATGTGCCACCACCAGTAGGCAGCACCCGGAGTGGACTTGTGCTTTTTTTGCCCACTGAGAGCCAAGATGGAGCTTTTGGTATGAACTCACTTCGTTTTAACCATGAATTTAATCTTTTTAAAATTATTTTTTATAACTTATTTTGGAATTATTATAACGTATTTATAACATAAGTTACAAGGCAACTTGTTCACTCTTCTCATTTTATAGTTTAGCAAATGGAGGTCTGATGGTGATGAATGAGTAATTTCCCAGCAGTGATTAGAGTGCAGCCAGGCCTGGTGCCCAAGCTTCCTGATCAGCACCTGCTAACACAAGGTCAACATCCACATATTGTGGTTTAAATAAACACATAGACATATGTCTCCAAAGCAGGTTTCAAATGTACATCATCATAAACATACATGACTTTTCTCACTAGTTTTTAACACTGCCATTTTAAACTGAATTTTAAATAGTATTTGTGCACAGTACTGGTAATTTAAAAGGAATTAAAAGGATATTTTGGTAAAATGTTGAGTCCCACAAGGCCCCAGAAGGTAACCTTAAAGAATTTTCCAAAGAATGTATATAAAGACACATGTAATTTTTTCAAATGCAGATATGTAGCATGTAACATCCACTGCTCTACACCTTGTGTTTCTCCTTAACGATATGTCTTAAAGGCTAAACAATTTGCCTTGGAGATTTGACTTATCAGTACCCGTGGACCTATGTCCTTTCTAACAGCTGTGGACTACAGACCAATGGAGTTGGCTGCAGGGTGAGAGCATTGGCTCTGGAGTCCAACGGACCAAATCCCAAATCCTGCTGGTCATCCATTAGGGCTGTTGCTTCAGAAAAACCCATGAACTTCAGTTTCCTCAACTGCAACATACAATAGAATGGTGCCAATTGCTTGAGTATCACTGAGACTTAAATGTGACAAAATATGTGAGAAGCTAGCATAGAGCCTGGTGCATTAAAGTTCTCTATAAATGTTTCCCCACATTTGTGTGCATTTATACTAATTCAACCCACAGCATTTGACACGAACCACTTTCTCTAATATTTTAGAATTTTCTAATGAAATAAAATACATTGCCACCAGATACTCCCAAGCTTTTTGCTAATTAACCAAAGTAGAAAGAATAACAAACAGCCTACCAAAAAAAAAATCATAAGTTAAAAATTGCCTTTAAAGAGGCACTCTTGTCACCTATGTCTAAGACTTATGTTAAAAAGTTTAGGATGATGGCTCTACCAAGTCTTCTTTTATACATATTTTTATTTTAAGCAATATAAAATGCTTCATTATATCCACTCTTTGTAGAATTATATTTATATGGCATAAATCTTTCCTGTGACATGAAGTTGTATAAAGCAAAAACAAAAACCCAATTTTAATGCTAGACTTTAATTAAAAGAGCAACAAAAATCTATGCTCACTATCAAAATTTTTAACCACAAATGAAAAAATAAACAGCCAAAGTGCTCTTAAATATTTGAAATACTTTCAAGATCAAGGCACATGATTTTTTTTCCATATAAACATTGCCCCAGTTTCATACACAGTTGACAGTACACAACGATAAAAGATAACATTGAATTCACATTGCAGAAATGCCAAGCACCTGCTTATCTTATATTTTGCGTTAAACTGGAGGCATTTTTTTGGTATATAATAGGAGTCAAATGAGAAGTTCAACAACACAGCCACGAGGAAGAGTCAAGGCTGCTCACCTGCAATTTTATGAAAAACTACTCTTTTAAAAAACACACCACTCTTGCCTCCCTGTGCAAATTAAAATATAAATATTTTCAAAAAATACTTATTGATGACAGGCTTTCAAGCAATGATAATGATGATATTTTTTAGTCATGAACTTACTGAGATGCACTGTCTCCTGCCCTTTCCTGTAGAGACAGGTCATGTGTTCATTCTACCATTTTTGTAGAAGAAAAGGCTAAGCCCCAGACAGATGTGAAGACTTCCCTGGAGACATGCATAGTTTGTTTGTAGCACACTGAGACAGTCTTAACATCCTAGGCCAGTCTTTTTAATCTGTAACTTGGGGCTTTAGAAAGTTCAGCTTTAGTATGTGATTAAAACACACATACACCAAAAACTGTCTAAATACAATGGGATAATGTCAATACTAGATGGGAATGAAAGGAAAATGGAAGAGGGTATCTCCTGAGGGGGGTGGTGGAGTGTAAGACACCTCAAATCCAAGTGATCTATATCTTCATGAGATATTTAAGAGAATACAAGATGGTCACATCCACTCCCCACTAAGCAGAACCCCACGCCAATTTCCCACCTGTGGTCTATGCTTCCCCAAAACCAAGGGCTTGAGGGCCTGAAAGGGTAGTTTACTCTCTCTATCTATTAATCTTTGTACTCATCTCAAGACATTTCTGGGAGACTGGTATAATTCTATACAACAAAAAAGTAAACGTTTTTTGAACTTTAAATAAACCCACAACTACAAACAAAAATAAAGATAATAAAAATATCAATGTGAGAGCTAGTTGGGATGAACTATTTTCTGATATTCACCCAGCAGTTATTGATCAAGTGCCTGCTGAATGCTGCACACAATTCTAGGCCCAGGAGGGCAGCAGCGAACAAGTCAAAGGTCCTGCTCTTTGGAATGTATCACCTTGGCAAACAGGTAGAGCCGTGGGAGAAACAGAAAATAAACAAGAAGATAAATGAAGAAGAAAATGTCAATAGCATAAGCACTGGGAAGATGAGCAGATTAACAGGTGACACAGGTGGAAGTTTTATTGGGTGGTCAGAAGGCTGCTCTGGAAGGTAAGATTTGAGGGGAAAATGGAATGAAACAAAGGAATTAGCCAAGGAAAGATTAAATACAAGAGTTCCAGATGGACTGAACAGTTAGTAGAAAGGCCCAAAGGCAGGAGTGTTGGTATATCCAAGGGCCAATGTAGCCACGCAGAGTGAGTGGAAGGAGGAGACATATGATGAGAGCCAATGTGAAAGCAACATTCAGACCCAGGTAAGGTGTCTAATTATTTCCTAAATATAATCTCCTCAGAAGGACATCTGATGATTTTAAAGACAGAGATTGAAACACTCTGATTTATAATTTAAAATCTCCACTATATGCAAATAGGAAAAACATAAATTTACAACTATATTTAATAGAAAAGTTTTGCTTATTAAAAATCATGGTCATCAGAAAGCATACATAAATAAAGCATCACAAATAACTTATAATACTCAGCTTAGTGAAGAGAAAGGTGCAGAGAATTTGGAATAGGTGGTCAAGGTTGAAAAAGTAAATCCAACATGTGTTAACTATGAGTTACTGTGCTGGAAAGTACCTTGATCAGAGCATAGCTTTCCCTTTTAAAAAATGGAGATTTGAAAACAAAAACAAACAA